TCTCCAGTAGGGGGTGTGCAGGAGGCAGCTGATCGATGATTCTCATCATTGATGTTTCTATCTCTCTCTCCCTCTCCCTTCCTTTCTGAAAGCAATAAAAATATATATATTAAAAAATATAATTATGTTTAGCATTGGTAGGTGTTGCTCAATGATTAGAGCATCAGCCTGAGCACTGAAGTGTCTCGGCTTTAATTCCAGGTCAAGGGCACATATCTGGGTTGCAGGTTCGATCTTTAATTCCAGGTCAAGGGCACATATCTGGGTTGCAGGTTCGATCCTCAGCCCTGGTGGGGGTGAGTATGGGAGGCAACCCAATCGATGTGTCTCACTCACATTGATGTTTCCCTCCCTCCCTTCTTTCCTCCCTTCCACTCTCTCTAAAAATCAATGGAAAAATACTGTTAGGTGAGGATTAACAACAACAACAAAAAGTTCAAGCCCCAAATGGAACTGTTTAAATGAGCAACTGTAAGCCTCAGCTGACCCTGCAGACAGAGCAGTTTTTGAAGTACCATAGCAGTCACAGCATGACCTCCCCATGAAGCAGGCCCTCAATAGTCTTGACCAAAAGTGAAGGTAATAAGGATTAGCCTTTCCCACATGTGAAGAAATCGGACTCTCCAGGGAACAGGAAAAGAATGCCTCCCACCCTCATGCTGCGAGGCACGTGGAAAAGGTGAGCGAGCGGCCCATACCTCTGCCGGAACTCCTGGAACACGATCCGGTTGGGGAAGCCCTGGCGGCAGATGCGGATGCCTTCCAGCACACCGTTGCAGCGCAGCTGGTCCAGCACGAGGTGCGGGTCCAGTTTCCCAGCCTGACCAGCAAAGGAGAGTGTTATCTTTGAACCGCTCCGCCCCGACCTCGTTCAGTGTCCGATCCCAGCACGTGCTGGACACATACCCGCTTCTCGTGGTTTGGAATGATGCAGCGAACGAAGTTGGGGTTGGTGTTGCGGAGAGTCGCCATCAGCTTGGTGAGAGACTCTTTGTAGAGCTGGCCGACGGTTCGAAACATGCCCTTCTTGGTTTTATAGGCAGAGCCAAAAGCTGTCTCCGTCATCCCAGTGACTTGATCCAGGCCCACAATCCGGTCCACTGGTGAACATAAAGAGGAAGAGGACAACAAGTCAAACCCACTCTCCCGCAGGGAAGACAGGACACAGTGAGTGCAGCAGCACAAGCTTGTGGACAGATGAGGAGAGATGCCATCTAGGGAGGCAGTCAGCATACGGAGACACTGCACAAGCCGTGGGACCAACAGCCACACACTTCAAGGGCGGGTAGTGTAGCTCTGACAGCTTCAGACCACATACCAGCAGATGCCTTCCGCTGCGCTACTTTCAGGGACTCACTGCCCGATAACATTTGCCTGTTACATACACAATTACTTGGTAAATGAGAGATCACTGGCTGGCATTATTGATACACAAATGGATATTATGACAAGTCTCAGAACAGGAAAGGCTTATAAAGATATATGTAAAAATATAGACTGTACAAAGCAAATCCACTTAATGACTATGGCTCAGGAACTAGGGCCCAGAGCCATCTCTCATCAGTCATTAGGATTTTAGTAAAAACGCCATCCAAGTTGCAGGGAGAGATTGCATTAGTTCAGATTTGTGGGAATGAGTAAACTTCAGCTATCTCCTCAAAGTGTGAATAAACTTATTAAAGGGCAAGAACACAAATTTGGAAGGAGCCTCCTAAAAAGAATCAGCGCCTAAGCTACGCTTAATGATGGTTACACTTCTCAGATCCTTCAGCTGAGGGTCCACATTGTCCACACAGACCTAACACCTCTAATGATGGGATTCTAAACAGAAGTTCAACACAGGGCACCATCCACACTTGGTGCTCTCATTTGAAAAAACTGTTACATGAATGAAACACACTACTGAAATATTTTAATCAAAATATCGATTTAATTGCCCTGTTAATGCCCTTGTCAATCTTAACAGCCACCTGCATTTCTTTCATCCATTCCCCAGAATAGAAGGTACGTGGGGACCTCAAGATCTCAATGAGCTTTGTGCAGAAGAGAAAACCATGACCCAGGAGGTAAGGCAACTTTTCAAGTCACCCATGTCTTACATGGAAGTGGGGAGAAGGGGGCTGAAGTCGGATCGATTCCCAGGCCCAGCCTGCACACTATAGTCCCATTTCTCCTAGCGAAGCCACCAGACTCGGGTTCAGGTCAGAGCTCCCTGTTTGTGCTCAGGACTCTGCCTCCATCCACCTCGGAGACCACCTTTCTTCCCTGGCCTTCAACCTGTCCCTCTTACTTGCTCCGGCAAAAACCCCACCAAACCCCACCCCTGCGTGTGCCACGAAGCAATGAGCTTCCTCTAACCTGCGCCTGCCCACTTCTCTGTCTCCTCAGAGCCAAGCTTCTTTCCCGAGTAGTTCATCCGTGGGCCCCTCCGCATCCTCTCCACTCATTTCCCGCTGCCCAGCGCCCTGCCTGCTAGCCTGCCTCCTTCCTCCACCTGGCACTCAGGCAACCACCGGTCAAGTGTTAAGAGCAGGCTGTCCAACATCTGTTTTACTTGACCCTGATATACTAGTATTTTCCTGTTGACCACAGAGCAGCATCCTAAAGCCTCTCGTCACTCCTGGCTCCTTTCATGAACCCTACCTTCTCCGTGACTTCTATCGACCTCTCTAGCTACTCCAGTCTCCCCGATGACTTCTCCTCTGCCTTTCCCGTACACCGGGGCACTCACAAGGGGTCCAAACTCAACACCCCTGAAAGCCTTTCTGGGATAAGGCCGGATGCAAGTCCAGGCACACACTGACCTGCTTTTCCCAAGCCATAGCCTCATCCCGGGTGATCTCATGTGACTTTAATGACCCATACCCGACTCCCAGCATCAGTCCCAAACACCTATATTCTCCTCTCCACCCAGAAGTCACAGAGGCCCCTCTGCCTTCCACATTCTCGCTAAGCGCCTGTCATGTGTGCTTTTACTCAACATTGCACCTTTGCCCCTAGCATGATGGCTGGCATAACAGGCTCGATGCACAGATGTTAGTGGATAAATGGAATAAAAAAACATTTACAACTACAAAGTGAGAAATGCTCTGACAAAAAGAACAAGATGCTGTGAGAGAGATGGGTGGTTAGAGATCTCTCTGGAGAAACTATACTTACTGCCAAGAGGGAAAGAACGAGCCAGTGGAGAGAATATTCCAGAGAGGGGAACAGCATGTGCTAAGGACCAGGGGCAGGAAGAAGTGCGAGGGGCTAGTGCCAGTGAAGCCGCATGAGGGACCCTCCCTTGGCCACTGTGTGTAGATGGTGGGGAGGAGGCCCGGGAGACCAGACAGGGGCCACTGTAGGGTCCAGGTTCTAAGAAAGATGACAGCAGCTTGAACTTTTGAGACTTAGAGGAGAGGGACAGAGGAGGAAAATTCAGGACCTATTTTGGTGGGAGACTTGACTTACTTTAATGATTAACTTGACAGAAAATAAGGGAAAGGGGCCGTCAGGAATAACTCCTAGGAGTTTGGCTTGAGAGCTGAGTGGCTTGTGGTGCCATCGGGAAGATTGGGGAGAGGTGGGCTTTGTGGGTAGGAAAATGGGGTCCAAACTGTGTAGGTTGGGGTGCCTGTGGGACATTAAGGTGGAGATGAGAAGCTGAGTGGACATCCCAGGCTGCTGGGAAGAGAGGTCTGGACCGCGAGGTAAATCTGGGATTGCTGACTTAGTGTTTACAGTTAGGAGACTGGATGGACCATCTGAGGGGAAGGGGGTGAGAAGAGGTGAGGGCAGGGGAGCAAGCCCCACGGCGCTGGGGAGGAAGAGCTGGGTGAGGAGAATGGGCGGAAGGAGGGGCAGAGATCAATATCCTAAACGCGAGCACATTCTCTGCCCCCGCTGCTACCCTGTCCCTCCTGTGTTTCCTGCAGACGTGACCAACTTACTCAAGCCAGAAACCAGGGGTCAGACTCCATTCCTCTCACATCAGCTGCTCACCAAACTTCAAAC